TGCAGAACACTCCAATCTTTCTGAGCATCCCATTTTGGACCACATGGCGCCTCCATTTTGTTTTGTCCCCAACACCTCTGAAAGATGTTTGATAAATCCGGAACAAAGTTTCTAACCACGTTTGATTTTGTTTTCCCAGGCCTTTGTGACTTGTGCCAAATCGCAGGGTAGAAAATCAGTTTGCAAGGTTATTAATAATATGGATTATCAATAGGGATAAACTTTATTGCTAGGCAGCTTGAGAACTATATAATACTCCTGGCTCTTCCTTCATTGCAGGCATTGTCAAACTGTGGCCCTTCAGCCATTTGGGCCTCCAATTTCCAAAATTACTGACCACTGAAAAAGCTGGCTACGGCTTCTTGGAGTTGGAAGACAAAACAGGTGGAGAGCTGTGGTTTGTGGATGCCCGACTTAGCATAACACTGATATTTGTTTAGGTGACAGACATTTTTATTTAACCAGGTATTTCAATCAAGCTTCGACTGTGCACATCTGTCTCTCTCAAAATCTCATTTACTCCTCATCTTCTTTTGGTTTTTTGTTTCTTCTTTAACACCCTCAGAAATCTGATAGGATTAAGGCCAATCTAACAAAAAGGTTATGCTGGTAGTGATGTAGTTTGCATAGTTTTGGACTGTAAACGTGCCTGATAATGCAGAAAAACTAACAATTTAAGACTGGGAGCAATGGAAATAGTCACACTGCTTGCCCAGAAATTGTATTCATTCAATTCCTTCTCTATTCAGTTATTGACAATATCTTCTTTCTCCAACTTGTACATTACTGCATTTTTCACCTTCTTTTTATATACAGGAGAGAGTGAACATGCCAATATTTATAAGAAATGAGCAACTTTCCTGTTTTTTCTCTCGCGGTTCAGTAGTGATGGAAGAAAGCTAGCAATAAACATAAGAGTGGCTGAATGTCTCGTGTTATTATAATGAAACAAGGGGTCAAAAACATTCCTGTATTTCTTGGCATACTGTCAAGTCTATGGATCTGTCACAGAAAGTTTATTTTCACTGGCTGCTCATAAAAGTGACTACAGGTGGCAAGGACCAATTGGCTTGGATCAGAGTTTTTGTGGCCTACTAAACTAGTAGATGAAAAAAGAGAGGAAAAAAAGAAGCAAACAGGGAAAAAATTAAGACATTGCAGGTAGCAAGATGACTTTGCTACCAGTAGCAAATAGATATATAGCTATACTCCACCAATGAGTACGGCAAAGAAACGATCAAGAGAGCTTGTACCTATAGGAGAGACAAAACCCAGCTTTTTGAATATACATAGGCTTCGATGTAAGTTGTTGACATATCAACTGGCCAGGTAGATCTTTCTAAAGTGATGGCATTAGTGGTTCATTGCCTAAGACTGGTTGCAGTGGAGCCTTGAAATCTACAAAACAGATATTCAACAAATCTACCTGACTTTTCTCAGATACTGAATTTTCCTTCCCCAGGAAGCCTAGCCTGATTCCTTCCCTATTGTGTGGTTGCTACCATGCAAAAACTATTGTATTTGGGCAGGCTTTTGGCAACTGAGCCCACTAGCAACAGAAGCTGCTTATAACTAGATTAATGGTGTACCTTCCTTTTTCTACTTTTTAAAACATGTTTCCTCTTTCCTTTTTTGGCTTTCCATTTTATTTTATTGGCAGCTAGACTGAATTCCCATTCACGGGATAAAGCTGGGGTACACATAAAAATATATCTTATATACTCATGCACTGGTCAAGAAACATTAGTGAAAAAATCAACCCCAAAAACTTGGGTTGACTTATTCATAGGTTAATGTGAGTACTGTACCTTAACTCTTATAAAAAAAATGGAACCATTCCCTTTCCTGAAAAAAGTGCAGAAAGGTAAGAGCTTAGTCCATCCCAGGAGAACCTAAAAGATGCATTGACCCCATCTACTCTTTCTGTTGTGGTGCTGCTTCTTCTTGTTGTTGATATTATTACCCTATTTTCCTCTCTTGTTTTGAATGCCTGGGTGGGGAAATAGTGGTGGTGGTTAGGGGTGGCTGGCCTCCTTAGTAAGCACTGGTACTATCTCCTCTCCATGGAATGATCCTAGATTTTTCTATGGTTCATATCAAAAGCCATAATTTCAGTCCCGAAATCTGTCCTTGACTTAGCACAACAGAACTTTCACATCTCCCCTTCAGCCCATTGTTATATCAAGGTACAAGTTCAGAGACAATTTGGGGGTATATGGGCTAGGAACTGAATAGTACATCACTTTTTGTGTGCTTGGAATGCAATGGCATGACCTTTGCAGGAAAAAGATGAAAACTGCCCACTACCTCTTGCCCACTGCCTACAGGTAACTGTTCTACAGGTAAGGCATGCCACTACACAAGGGTTCCCAGATATCCTAATATATAAGGGGCTCTTATATGGGAAAGCTGACAAAGCTGACTGGCACAACCTGGGGATCCCAACCTGACACAGTGAAGACATCTACCCTTGCCCTTTGCTACTCTGCTGCTGAGTATGCATGCCCAGTGTGGAAAACATCTCACCGCGTTAAAACACTGGATGTGGCTCTTAATGAGACATGCCACATTATCACAGGATGTCTAGGTCCCAAACCACTGGATAAATTACACTGTTTAACTGGTATCGTACCACCTGGCATCTGTCGTGAAGTATCAGCCAGCAATAAAAGGGCCAAGGCACTGACATCTTTGGCCCATCCTCGGTTCAGATTATCAGGCAGCATGCCAATGCCTTAAATCAAGAAACAGCTTCCTAAGATCTACAGAGATACTCGCAGGAACACCTCAGCAAGTGAGAGTCCGAAAGTGGCAGGTCAAACGCAGTACCCCAATCAGTGACTGAGAGCAGATGAGAAACTCCCTCCTGGGCACATAAAAGAGTAGATGACCTGGGAAGCGCTGAACAAGCTGCACTCTGGCACCATAAGATGCAGAGCTAACCTTAAGAAATGGGTCTATAAAGTGGAGTCTACGGCATGCGAGTGCAGAGAAGAGCAAACCACAGACCATCTACTACAATGTAACCTGAGCCCTGCCACATGTACAATGAAGTACCTTCTCACAGCGACACCAGAGGCACTCCAAGTGGCCAGCTTCTGGTCAAAGGACATTTAGTGCGCCAAGTTCTTTTTAAAAGTTTGTGTTTTTTTAAATGCATTCTAACTTGCTCCTGACACAATAAATAAATAAATAAATAAATAAATAAATAAATGATATTTTTCTAGATTTGGGGATTCTCGAAACCAGCCAATCTTAAGAAGATATGTGACAGTCCCATATTATTGCTTTAATAATCTTGCAACCCCATACTGAGCTATATGCAGAGGAAATGAACTTTATTTGCATCAGTTCAACATGTGATTAAAACATTATTTTAGAGGAAAATACCCAAAAAGAAAAGAAATAAAGGTTTAGAATGTGGTAAGTCATTGAAAGGAGAAACAGGGACACTACTAAAGTATTCTAAGGAATAAAACAGCTTTGAAACAGAACCACGACTTCCAATAATAATAGGTTTCATAATATTGTTAACTATTAGCTTGACCACTTTTATTCCATTCTGGATTTGGATAATGCTCATGTGAGATTTTAAATACATGATGTACTCAATGCTTTAGTTTAATTATCTTTTCTTTTAAAATGGTGTGGAAATTCACCTGTACTTTTAAAATAGCTTAAAATAAAGTTTTGTTTGGGCAGCCACCAGTTAGCTTGGGCATCTTCACAGAGAAGCACAGTTCCAAGAAGAAATGTATCTCTAGAAAGACAGAAAATCTTTCTCCAGAATAGCCTACTCCAAACCCTGTTATTTTAGGATGCGGTACGGTGAACTGTATGTAGATGTTCTCATAGTCAGGTCTATGGAAGACACCCAATCTTCTCAACACAGTTCTCAGTTTCAGAAGCATGAAAATCAGATCAAACAAGTTCTGTTGAATCTTGGAGCCAGGACAATAATCTACCAAGGCAAACAGAATATCGTGCTTCAAAAAGCATGGTGGGCTGAGACCTAGAAATAGGCACAGAGAGTCCTGGCTCCATCATTCAGAATCTGGATTAAGATTTTAGAAATTCCCACATGAAAAGGATTTTTAACCACCTTGGATTATTCATTGTTGTGCCTGCAACACCTATTTAGCTCCAATGTAATGGAAGGTGTATGGCTACGGCTTGGTTTAATATTTTTCCCATATGGTTATGTGGGAAGGGCGAACATACAAACTCGGGTGCACATTGTCACAAATGAGATTTCCACATATTAAGAAAAAATATTACTAAGCTAAGTGTAGACAGGACAATAGATACTTCAGCAAATTGCACACGTGGCACACACTTTCTCTTGCATCCATATAAAGGAAAAGTAGCCTTATCTATATCATATGATAACAGACGGTATTGCTATAATTTTGCAGTTTCACATTTGGTTTTCCAAAGTAGTATGTATCAATCCTTAAAGAGTGAGAGTGTTGCCTCATTTGTCACTAATCTTCTCATCTCAAATAATATGCAAATAAATATTATATTATATTGAGCAATGGGGCAGAGTGCATGTCTGGCCTGGACCACATCTTACTCCTCAGAGAGATGTAGATCTTAAAACAGGAAGTAGACAATGGTCTTTACAATCCAACCCCAATCCTACAAATCCCATCAAAACAAATGTTGCGTTTAATTAGAATTTAATTTCTGTATGTGATGCCTCTCATAGTTCGTTTCATGGCTGCAATTTTCCCAAGGCAGTTTACAATATAAGACATAAAATTCCATATTAATATAATAAATTCATTAAATCATCAATCATTTTAAGCCAAATGGAAGAATACATAAGTGAAAATGAGCTGAGGACAGCAACTAAAAGGCATTAGCAGAAATTTTACCCAAGCATTAAGGAGGTTTTTTGGCCGCTCACATCCTCCATATCCACTCCTCACATTTTCAGGGTTGTCTCAGCTCATTGAATGAGTGGTCTTAAAGGTTTTCTTTTCTTAAAATCTTACCCAGGAGTATCCTGTTCTTCTTGATGCCGTTTTTAACTTCATCATCAATCAAACCTGTAAGTGCTTGACACATGGAATCAATGGTTTCAATATGTTCTGGGCAATCGTAAGAGATCTTATATCTGTCAAACCACACATTGGACAAGGAACCTCTCATAGGTGTATATGGTCTGGAAAAAATGGTGATAGAAAAATATGTGTGAACAGAAATGGTAATATATCCATGGAAATCAATTAATTCTATGTTTCAAAAATCTTTCCACAAATGCCAGAATGGTGGCAGTGGATGGACACTTGCAACTGTGTAGCCGACTAAGATGTAAACGATATGTGACAACAATATGTTGTTTATTTAAACGATGTTTGACCCAGTCATTTAGGAGAAAGAAAGAAAGAAAGAAAGAAAGAAAGAAAGAAAGGTAAAAGGGAAAGATAATGGTACTGTTAAGGAATGCGTGGCCCTGCTGTTTTGTTGGATTGCAACTGCCATTAATCCGAGATAGCACAGCCAATAGTGAGGGATGATAGGAGTTGAAATCCAAATCTGACTACTCATTCCTCATTGTTGGTGTATATGCCTGTACCCAATATTGTGTGGCAGCTGGTATTTGGAAATCTCCAGATTAGTCCCCACTGTCTCTTCCTGCATGGCAGGCTGTTGGAACTGGATTGCCATTGTGATCTCTTCCAACTCGATGATTCTATAATTTGTGGGCTAGCAGTATTAATTTGGCCCCACTTTCCTCTCAGAATTATGTGGGCAAGAGGACATCCAAATAGGCTGCCTTGATTTTGTTGGAAGGAAGATGGGATATATTGTTCTGTTGCATGCACTCAAATAATTTCTGACACATGGAGATCCTGACTTATGCAGATCTGATTTCAAGTCTCTTTCAAGAGAGAAAAGGAGGGATACTACTACTATTACTAATAATAATCTTGAAGGAACACCTCAGCAAGCAAGAGTCCAAAAGTGGCAGGTTAAAAATCTGGAACCTCAATCAGTGGCTGATACCAGATGAGAAACTCTCCTCTGGGCAACTTGGAAGGTGCTGAGCAGACTGTGCTCTGGCACCACAAGATGCAGAGCTAACCTTAAGAAATGAGGCTACAAAGTGGAGTCTACAACATGCGAGTGTGGAGAAGAGCAAACCACAGACTGACTAATACAAGGCAGTCTGAGCCCTGCTACATACTCAATGGAGGACCTTCTTACAGCGACACCAGAGGCACTCCAAGTGGCCAGCTTCTCATCAAAGGAAACTTAGCATAACTTTTTAATCGTTTTTCGGACCATTAGAACTGTACTCTCAATTCACTTTTGACATGATAAATAAAATGCTAATAATAATAAATAAATAAGGTGAAATTATCATGCACCTTTTTTGGTAAGATTTGTCTTGGCGGGGGATTTCTCTGCCTCCCTCTGAGGATAAGAGAATATGACTTGCCTAAGGTAACCCAGTGGTTATCCATGGCCAAATGGCTCACAGAGTTGTACTCCAATACGCAAACCATGAGCACTGCACTCATGGAGCCTGAACCTCAGCGATGTTTTTTTCTCAGCAATATTGTTTGATATTGTTTACAATTATGTTTATTTTTATATTTTATCTGATGTTTTTAATTGTGTGTTCTATTTGTAATTTTTGGGCTTGTCCCTTGTAAGCCGCCCCGAGTCCCCTTGGGGAGATGATTGGCGGGGGTATAAAAATAAAGTTATCATTACTATTATTATTAAACCACTACACCATGCTGGCTCTCTAAAGGTTGGATATATAATATGTATATGACAGATTTATGAGCAAAAACTGTGGCAGTGGAGGCTAAACCCTACCACAGCGTTTGCTCCTGGAACGTTCTACTAGCTAGTCTCACTTCTATTATTAAAAGAACCGCAGAGTGAAAAAAGCTGTGGGCAGGATAGAGAAGTATGATTAAAATTCAATTGCTTAGAGAAGTGGAAAAAGCAAAGAACTGGGTATAGGCTTCAAGCTCCAATTAAACTCTAAAAATACGCTACTTTTCCTCACTCATCGCCTGCCATTTCTGTCATGTGACAAATAATATCTTATCCGACATGGCTGGTGAGGAAATGAACAAACCTTTAAAACCATTTCGTACGGAAAAAATCCTAGAGATATTCATCTTCGGGAACAAACCCACCCTCAATCTTTTGTGTTCCTGGATTGTAGACTGAGACTGCTACTGAATTCTGCTTAAAATACATAGTGCTATTTAATTATTATATTAATGTTTAAATATTCTGAAGGCACCAGGTTCTGTCTGGTCTTGGAAGTCAAGTAGGGCTATCCCTGGTTAGTATTATGATAGGAAACTCTCAATGAATACCTGGTGCTTTATATTTCCGAGGCATAAACTGGCAAATCCATCTCTGAGGACTCCTTGCCTAAGAAAATTGTATGAAATTCATGGAGCCATCATAAGTTGACAGGTGACTTGTAGGCACACACACACAATTACCATACACAACAGCTTTTTTAAAAACCTTGTGTGCAATCCAACCAGCCAGAAAATGATAACAGAAGTTCTTAACTTGTTAACATTTAAAAGGAGTTTCCATCGCACTCCACAACTCCAAAATATAATAGAGGGAATCCCATTGCTGCTGTCTATACTAGCATCTATGCTTTTACAGCAGTCACTGGTCAGGATTCAACAGAGATACAGAGCAACATCAACGTGTACAAGCATAGGTATTCCAATTCCCATATAGTCCTTTCTTGTTCATACTAGCCTGCCCATGTGTTTTCAAATGAAGAAGTCTGTCCCTGTTGCCTCTATAAAACAGAGGACCACGTTTTTGCTCAAGAAGGATTTCCATGAACCATTTGGGAAAAGTGAATTTACCTTTAAAAAAACCTAGGAAGAATATGTGATCCATTTCTTGTAAGATAAAGTTCTTGTCCCTTGTTTCAGGACCATCAATCCCATTTTGGAGAGCAAGACAAAATATTTTTTTAAATAGGACAATGCAGTGAGATTTGACATATACCGTATATACTTGAGCATAAGCTGGGTTTTTCAGCCCTTTTTAAGGCAGAAAAAGGCTCCTTTGGCTTATACTTCAGTCAAGGTTATTATTTTACTCTGTTATGATGATTGTTATGTTTATTATTTTACTATTATTATTATTATTATTATTATTATTACAGTTACATTATTTTACTCTATTATTATTGTTATTGTTATATTTATTATTTTACTCTATTATTAAAATTATTATTTTACTCTATTATTGTTATTACATTTACATTATTAAACTATTTTTATTATTACATTTATTATTATACTCTATTTATTACTGTAATTATTACAGTTACATTACTTAACTCTATTATTATTTTTACTGTTACATTTATTATTTTACCCTATTATTAAATTTATTATTTTACTCTATTATTGTTATTACATTTACATTATTTTACTCTATTATCATTTTATCACATTTATTATTTTACTTTCATTATATTTGGAAGGATATGAAAGCACATTTACATTGAAAAAGGTTGGAATAATGGTTTAATCAGAGTTGGGCAGTCTTATCTTAAATTACAGTTTAATGTAAATATTCAAAGACATTGAACCTACTGATGCCTCAAATAAAGTAATTTTATTGATATCTATTTTTATTCTGAAATTTACCAGTAGCTGCTGCATTTCCCACCGTCGGCTTATATTTGAGTCAATACGTTCTCCCAGGGGTTTTTTTTTGTGGTAAAATTAGATGCCTTGGTTTATATTTGGGCAGGCTTATAATCGAGTATATACGGTAACTTTAATGGGCAATTTGTGATATCAGACTCTATGGAACAGCATATGCTGCACTTTTTAAAATATAGCTAACCGTTTATCCTGTCAAAACTCACACATTAAATCCTGGTCGGTGTTGTGACAGTAGGGATGCCATATTTTTCCCTACAAGAACACAAAGAAGCTTGTTTTCTTTTCCTGACAACCAGTTTTGTGTAGCTTAATCCACTGGTACTAACTTCTGATGTTTCTTGGCTCCCATCCCATTGGCAACACTATCAGTATGGAGCCAGTGTTTTAAATACCACTGTAAGGAAAAGCAGCAGGAGTCTGCACTATAGAATAAAACTATTTTCTAAACATGTTAGCAAAGTTCCTTCATTGTGATCAATTATGTCTGCTGAAATTGCTTTCATTTCCATCACCCGTTGGCATGATCCAATCAAACTGAAGCCATGTTTTAAGTGTTCTTGATTTCAATGTGGGGAAACTTAAACACTTGGCTAGATCTTATCGTTCTTACATTTCACCCACTGAAGATGGATATATATGCTTAATTGCGTTCCTGAATCTGAGCCTAGGGCTTCGTAATGTTTCCTCAACTTCCATGCTAACAAAAGTCACTCTTGCTCCCATAAATTGACAGCCTTTGTCACGACAATCCCTGCTCTCATGTAGCTTAAAAATAAACATAGAAACTATTTCAAAAATGTAGAGTCAGAACTCAGAAAACAATTTAAACTATTAAGCCCACTATAATAAGACTTGTAAGTGAAATGCAACACCAGACTTCTCTTTAATTAATTAAACTAACAAGTAATATTAGGCCATGGTTCAGTAGTAAGGTATTACTACTAATACTACTAGTATTACTTGAAATGTGTTGGAATTCTTCCAATAAAAGTTATAATTTTAATAGGCGTGTGCACATTCACTTATTTCTCCCTTTTCTCTGAATCTTAAGGAAACATTTGATGCTTCTTAAGGATCTAAATCTTTTATTAAGTTTTAGTGGCCATTAGTAACAAAACATATCTTAGAGTCTCGCTTATCCAACATAAACGAGCCAGCAGAACGTTGGAGAAGCGAAAATGTTGGATAATAAGGAGGGATTAAGGAAAAGCCTATTAAACGCCAAATTAAGTTATGATTATACAAATTAAGCACCAAAATATGTTTTACAACAAATCGACAGAAAAAGCAGTTCAATACATGGTAACCTTATGCAGTAATTACTGTAATTACAAATTTAGCACCAAAACATTGCAATGTATTGAAACAGCTGTGGATCTGGGCGGGAGGCAGAATGTGTTGGATAATAAAGAATGTTGGATGAGTGAAGGTTTGATAAGTGAGATACTACTGTCTGAACGCATCTCCCCCTATGAACCATCAC